TTGAGTAAAAAGAATAGTTTTGAATTTCTAATGGTGGGGTACCTCTTCTAATTTTCTAAGACTAGTCAATAGGAAAGTCCTATGGCTAGACCTATGCTACTAAAGAAGTTTTCTAGACCTCAACCAAAAATGAGGTCAACAAGAGTAATATCTCCTACCTCAAGAACCTTTGACGAAAGGAAAGAATAAGGACAATTGATACTATTCGACGACTCTTGAGGAGATAATTGCCCCTGATACTCTTAGGTTGATACTCTTAGGTTGATATGATACTCTTAGGTTGATAGTAGTCCTAGCTCGATCAAAGTAATTAATCTGTGGACTACACTGCTCTACAAAATGTTTTAAATGAAAACCCCTTTGAATGATAAAGCAAACTTTATATGCATGAAAAATTAATTTTAAAAATGAAAATTTATAAGGTCCACGGTTAATCACTTGGATTGAGTTTAGGACTGCCCTCCGTAGATTATCAGGTTGGTAGCTCTCACTCAGGGCCGGGAAGCACACATTTAAGCTTTAAGCCCTCGCCTTTACCAATGTCTTACACTTAGTTCTGATCTTCTATATGTGACTATGGGTTTTCTTTTATTTGCTCGTGTTTTGCTACGACTCATTTTTTCCAACTTTTTAAGTACTAGATGCTTCTTTTTTACTTTCCTGTAATTTATTTAAATTTCTTGCAAATATATTATGCTTTATGATGCTAATCATGCAGCGGTAGCAAAAGCCCAGGTACGCATTTATATTTTATGCAATGCAATTTTACTTATTTACTTTATAGCATTTTCTTACCTACACTTATTTAGCTTGCGTGCAAAACAAAACATATTTTCAAAATTAATTTTACATTTTCAAAGCAAACAAAAAAAAAACATAACACTCCTTTTAAATTTACGGGAGTCCCTTGAATAAGGTAACCTACGATTGCTAATGAGATTTCCCCAGTTTAAATAAGCTTAACAACTCGTTTAGACTAAGTAAATTCAAGAGAAAATAATGGTACCTGAATGAGGGAATCGTGCAATCCTAACCAGTGACGCTCTAATCAACTTTACTTTCCCCCAAATAAGACATTTGAACAATAAAAAAACCAAAAAAACTTAAACAAATATAGTAAAACCTTTTGAACCTTGAACTTGGAGCTGTCAATTCGATGAGGAGCTTGAAGCTAACCCTGTGGGTAACATTCTACAACAGTAAACCAAATCTACAACAACAAATCTTTCTTTAGAATTAAATAACAAGTCATAGGACTTCGAGGTAGTCCGTCTAGTACGGTATAAATCTTCACTTTATCTTTAGGCTCCTATGTTTTAAGCATTTTCACAGCCAAGTTGTGTAATTTAAGCCCTAAATTATTTTAGATTCTAAGGTTGTCGTTCGTTACGACATAAACTCTCCTATCTTTCAGGCTATTTATATGATTGTGCATGCAACGTAAGCCCTAAATAATAAAATTGACATGAAAAAACATTTAATTATATTTCCTCGAAATTGAAGTCAAATCATAGGATAGCTTGAGAAGTCAATGAGGCTCTCCTGAAGATCCATGACATCCCCTAGTTTTTCTCTTTAGATTCCATAGTAACGTTCTAAACTTGAACCTTTCTCATTTGATATTTCTTTGTCCGACTTTGAAAAGTCCTAAACTTCGAAATTTTTGAAGACTATATTTTCTGATATAAATCGAGAGTTTTCTTAGGCGATTTGGATTATCTAAGATGTAATTAACTATAGGGGTTTGCCCTTATAGAAAAATTTAAAACCTAGCTTAATATAAACTCTGTCAAATCTTTTATATTAGATAGGAGAAATTTGTCGGTCAACATAAATGTTTCACAAATTAAAACGGATGTCATAAATTCTTTAGTTTATTTAATCGAGTCTCATTAGTAAGTAATGTGTCCATTCTTAGAGATAGATGCATCGTTTATGATGTTGTGCTTGTTTATTTAAACTATTATCCATATGAGATCAATTCGGTCTCGTATTTTAAAAAATCAGTCTATTACTTTTCAAAATTATATATATTAAATTAAAAAAGCACTCTTTCAAAAAGGCCATTGACAGTGTACAGGAGCTGTTGGTTAGGAAGGTTGTGCCACTGGCAAGCATTTCTCTAATCATTTTTCTCATTTGCTCCTTGAGTTTTTGAATTTGATAGGCCACAAAGTCTCAGGCGATCTCTAAGTTGCATGTTAAGTTCATGATGACTTTCTTCTCCTTACGATTCTTATCTCCTTATGTACAACATGATCTACACTCACCTCACCATTTTAGAATGTTAAACCCAAATTTATAAATAAGTTATGTCGAGTGATGGAAAGTAGACCTTTAAAATTTTCTACGAGTCTTCCCACTACGGTTAAAAATCACACATAAATATGTTGTAAAACAACATATTTTTTATTTCAAGGAAGAACATTTGCTTCATTTCAATCTGCATCTAATGATTTGAATCGATCCCCATTAATGATAGTGTTTTTTGGGCATTTTGCTTTATTGTACTCAATCTTGAATAAATTTTAACTCATCTTACTCAACTTGTCCAGAGTTATTTCGACAATACTCGTATGCAATATTAGCACTTGACTATTTAAACCTTATTTAAGCTCATCTGAACACGGGAGTCAAACCTTTTTTTTTACATGATTTAGCTCATCTTGTCAAACTATATATATATATATATATATATCGATCATTAAAGCAAAATTCATTAAAAATCCACTAATTAAGAAAACAAAATTGGTCATAAATTGATCTGCAGTTTGTAATGTATAAATGTAACCAAAATACATATAGAAACTACGCACCATCACAACATTAAACAAGCTAAAGCTACTGATTGATAAGAACAAGTTTCAACATTTGCTGAATGAAAACTAACGAGATCAACAACACAACAATCCCTGATGTGAGCTTAGCATCCCATTAGTCGAACAAACTAAAGCCCATATCATCATCTGATTCTTCATTCTCTTCAACTTTTTCCTCCTTTTTAGTCTCTGCAGCAGCAGGAGCAGTGGTAGCAGCAGCTCCAACTCCTCCCGCAGGTGCAGCCACTGAAATACCACCACCGCCAGAAGGAACAGAAGCAAACTTCTCCCTTCCAGCAGCAATGAGCTCAGTTATGTCCTTGCCTTTAACTTGAGACAGTAACAAATCAATCCCCTCATCATCTGCATCGGCTCCAACTGATACAAGGATATGCTTCAGATCATTGGAAGAAGGTTTGAAGTTGCCACCAAGGACAGCAAGCAAATAAGCAGCAATCACCTTCATTTTTGGTTGAAGCCTTAGAAACGGAAAAGAAGTAGTGTAGCAGCCTCGTTCCCCCGCAATGGCGACAAAACAGCCGGAAAGCTATTATACGAACGTTCAATCACGCCAATGTGCCTAACAATTCGAGTACCACCTCTTTAAGCCCAACTATGTGAGAGAGGATTCAAACCCCTGACCTGAGAGATTTTATATAATGGATGCCAACCAAAAAGCCAAGGTACGCGGCACATCTTGTCAAACTAAATATTATGACTATAAAATTGCTAAAAAAAATAGTTCAATTTATTTGATGAGATGATTTTTTCAAAGGCAAGGAAAACATTACCCATATTTGGTTTGGCAGGAGACGCAAATTGAACATACGAAGTCTCTTTTATGATGCTAAAATACCAAAAAGAAAAAAAAAAGAAATACCTCAAACAAAAATCATAATTTGGCCCCAAATAATCCTTCTAAATATATCACCACGATCAAATACTTAATATTAACTTTTGGGAATAGAACATTAAAAGATTCATAATGAAAATATTATTACATACTGGTAACTTCGAGAAATTATTGTATTAGGACACCTGATGCAAATATCAGGTGTCTAATAACAGGGGGTCACGTGATAATTTGGGTCTAGTGACATATATGTTTCAAGCCGAGTTACCGCGTGCCAATTTATTATTGGACATCTGATATAAATTTACAGTAGGTTTCGGTAACTTATTTAACAATAACAAGAAAACTAAGCATTAATAAATTCCTTAACAGTAGCAAAAAGCACTTCCGCGGCCGCAGGATCAAACAACTCCATCGCGTGAAAACCCTCCTCCTCCAGCTGCGCCGCCACTTGTAATCCGGCCGCCTCCATAACCTTCACAAGCTGCCTCTGCCGATCAATCAACGGATCCCCTCTGCGGCATGTAACCAAAAACCTTGCACGCATCCTCGAAATCCTCTCCACATCCATCACCGCCGCAGGATTACAGTACTCATGGTCACGATCCGCTCCCGGCGGGCAAG